GAAGAGGAAGACGCTTCCGATGCACCATGTTGCTCACTCCAGGCACGACTGGAATCCGTGGAGTATGACGTGTTCTCACTCACGGGCGAAAGAGGTCCCGTGCGATCCTGTTTCCCCAACGCCTTGGAGCTTTCGGGTGCCTGTCGCTCACGATATACGTTGAGTCCATCTCGCGCTCGTACTAGTCTCCACTTTGAGTTGGAGAACTTGGATCCTCCAGCGAGAAAAGCTTCGTTCGCAGCCAGAGTTTCATGGACGACGGTCTCTGCTTCTCGGATTAGAGCTTCTTGTTGCTCCTTGGTGAGATCGAGCTGGGGGAAAGCATTTTCCGGGAGTGTGAACTTCATTTTTCACTTCGTGCTCAATCGGGCCAAAGCACTTGTGATCCTCAAATGACAAAAACTTACGTCGCAGATATCTAGCCAACCAACCAAGAAGGTTACCACGGTACACACAAACATCGTTTCGATTCAGCGCAGGTCAAAGCATTTGTCGTATCCTAGCGACAAAGCTTTTGTGGCCTGCAAGCCAAGCTTTGTGACCTACGCTAACTTCTAGGAAACCAGTTGATAGTGTTAAAGCACAAGGTATGCTGAAATACCCGTCAAAAACCAGCAATAGTCGGTACAGAAGCAGTTTACACATGTTTTTGACGGGGTCAGTAACTGTACGGCGCGTGCTTTCAAGCGTACGTTAAACTAGCATAAACCTCTACGATCACACGAAAGGAGATCTTGCAGATCTCAAATCCTTTTAGTTTTTAAAAAAAGCTTACGAATCATATTTAAACCGTTTAAATATGATTCGTAAGCTAAAGGACCTTTATTCCCTACACAGCCCAATCGTGGGCTCACGTTTAAACGTATGTCAGGGACCGTTAGAAGTTTGCAAATTGGCGTTATAGAGAGAAGGGTTCACTTATAGTGGGGGTAACTACCACTTCCAGATAATTTGTGCTTCATGCCGAAACAGACATGCTGAGCACACGCGTTTGCTTGGCTACAGGGGTAATAAAGGTTAATAGCGAGCAAAAGGGTTAACTCTTTCGCGAGCTACTTTAGTAAACTATAGTTTACAAATCTAGGATAGTCGGTATCAAAAGGAGGCATTTTGCCTCCTTTAAGGCGAGTGACGGACCACCTTCTAATCTTCCAAGTGTGATTTGCTTGGTTTTTCTATGCCCATAGCGACCTGTTGTAAACGTACTTAATTACAAAAGGAGGCATT